TCGTGTGCAACATCGGCCACTTCGATAACGAGATCGCCATGGAGGACCTTGAGCAGTTCGCCGGCATCAAGGTGGAGAACATCAAGCCCCAGGTCGATCGATTCGTGTTCCCCGATGGCCACGGCGTGATCGTGCTTGCCTCTGGCCGCCTGGTGAACTTGGGCTGCGCCACAGGCCACCCGTCCTTCGTGATGTCCTGCTCCTTCACCAACCAGGTCCTGGCGCAGCTGGACATCTTGGAGAACTGCACCAAGCAGAAGAAGTACAAGAACGACGTGTACCTGTTGCCCAAGAAGCTCGATGAGAAGGTGGCTGCCCTCCACCTGCCGTCGCTTGGGGCCAGCATGACCAAGCTGAGCAAGGAGCAGGCCGACTACATCGGCGTCCCCGTCGAGGGCCCCTTCAAGCCTGACACCTACCGCTACTAGGTATGCTCAACATCACAGCACAGATGCGCAATTCGCACCACTTCAAAATTCTGAGCTTGGGATTAGCTTACCTCCCTGGCGGAATGCGCTACCTGCGCGGATCCCAGGGCGAACGGCATTCGGAACCCATCCAGAACTGACAAGGAAAAAAGCAAACTTGCTTCAGGCTGTCATCTCACTGAGCTACTTGGCCTGGGCTCACTAACCCAGAGGGTCCGAGCACCCAATAATTCAGTACTTGGGTTTTAGGTAACACCAATTTAGTATAGGTTTGGGATAAGTATATGATGATTAGGCACTTGGACCCTAAGGTTAGGGAATCAGCTAACTCCTGGGCTCCTCAAAGTCAGGCCACCAACTGAAGGGTCCATGTGCCTCTGCAGCGCATACTTGGGGCCGAAGGGGTTTTCATGTCTATACCTCAATATACACATCCTGGTTTGCTATTCCTTCTACTTCCCGCAGGGCGCGTGTAGCTCTACAGTATAATCATACTAGGGCCAGAGTAGTTTCATGCGGTTGCCGCAGGCGCTTCCATGCATAGTAGCCCAGGCTCATGTTCTTGTGGTATGTTTGCTGATGTGGCTGTGACGCCAATTTTTGTGACGGCAACATAGATCGGCCAGCATTCTAAATCCACAGCTGGACCAGTTTCCTGAAAACCTTGCTTAACCCTCAACCCGAAACACTACGTACCTACAGTAGTTATATGGGAACCCCTTTGGGCTCTAAGTATATACTATACCTTGGGACCCTAACCTGTTGGCCAAGCCAGATTGAATCCTAGGGTGAAGCCGTGGCAGATCACGGTGCCATCAGACGTTGGGGACGAGACTGGGCTCAAGTCATTTACTTACTGGTGGTTAGTAGGGGACGAGGGAGAATAGGGTTTAGGGTTCAGGGTTGGTAGGGAAGAAGGGAATATATGATGCCCATATATAAAATTTCTCCATATTCCCTACTAGCCCCCGGTAAGTTAAATCGTTCTTCCGACATAGCTTCCTGTTATTTCCCGCCATAGTTTCCCGTTATTCCAGAGGAACGTGTCTTGTCTGGGATGCATTTTGGATAACTTGTGATTTTCCTTGTTTCTGTATAGGGGAACCTATTCAGATGTGTTGCGGGAGCCCATAACTAAAGCACCACCCGGTTGTGTTTTAGGATGTAAATCAGCCCTCGTTATTGCTTTCTGCACCTGTGCGGGGCAACGATCTCCACTGACTCGTATCCTGACCTTACAAGCTCTCACCTATCTAAGTCCCTAAGCCCTCCGCGAGCCCTCCACGTGGAACATGCCCAACAGACATCTAGAGCTTCAATGGCGCATCATTATTTGCTTCACCGTTCACTGCGTCATGGGCGTCCAGCATCGCCATGCCGATGCCAAGTTAGGGTTAGGATGTGCCGCCATTCCTGCCGCAGGTGGCCATTCCAATTCCAGAAGAGACCAAGGTCCTGCCCGAAATGAAGAGGATCTGGATGTTCTTCAAACTCCCTTCATGTACCTGTGCCATTCTTGTTGAGGACCCTTCTGCTGAAGCCTAAACCCTAATCCCTAAGCTTCCTGGTGTCCTTTTCTGGATCACCGTCTGCCTAGAGTCCCTTAGGAGGCCCTCCTTGTCCTACTACCTCAAATGGAACCCAAAAGCTCCAAGTAGCTATCCCTAAGGGTCCACTAGGGTCCCTTTAAAGGGGTTATAGGGGGATATATAATATATATAGGGATACATGGGGACTATATAAAGGTCCCAGGAACCCGAAAATATGGTTTTAGTGACCAAATATTATATCATTGATGGTGTATTTGGGCCCTGAAGCCCGATTATTTGTGTCCTTGGACCCTTAGGGGTCTATACTTGGGTTCCATATTATATGCAAACTTTGTTGCGCCTTAGTATGTAGCATATCTGGGAACCTTGAAACTCTTGACCGTGGGGGGCCCCACAGTATGTTCATGAGTCAGACCCCAAGACTTGTTCAGATGCTTCGCACAGTAATTGCAAGTGCACTCTTAAAATCTCTTAAATGAGAGGTAGGATGAGGGGTGGGTAGGATTAGGGGTCAGTATCTGGCTGGCAGAAATCTAGGAGCATGACAGGGTAGCAAAAATACTGAGGGCAGGATCAGCAGAAGTATGCACTGGAACACGGGCTTTATGGACTTTACGGCATGCAACCCATGATCCTATGTCTTCCCATGCAAGAGAGTATTGATGTTTATTCGAATGGAGCCAAGGACACCACGGCCTGTATGCGCTTCTTGGCTTGAGCGCTGATTTCGCTGGCGATGCCTGTATGATTAACTATTGCTGTATTACTATTATTACTATGAATACTCTAGAACGTTTGGATCAGCCTACAGCACGTGCAGAACTCACCTTTCAAGGCGTGCAAGAAGCACTCGTCAAGAAGCCAGTTGGCGTAAGGTGCAGGGTTTGCAAGCAGATCCTTTGTTTTATAATCCCACTCAGTTTCCATTTCATGCTTCACCTGCTTGCTCATTTGACTCTCCAATGATCAAACCCTAAACCCCAAACCTTATACCCTGAAACCCTGAAACCCTAAATTCCAAACCCTAAACCATGAAAGCCCGGAAGCCCTAAACACCTAAACCCCAAGCCCCCAAACCATTTCAACAGAAAAACTGAAACCCGAAAGCCCTAAACCCTAAACCGTAAACATCTTGAAGCCCTAAAAACCAGCTAAACCCTAAACCCTACTAAATATCAGGTGAGAAGTTTGAGATCGCTCGGCAGCTTGATGATGCATCAGCCCGCCCTGTTCCCAGATAGAAGCATGGTTTAGGGTTTTGGGTTTAGGGTTTAGGGGTTCAGGTTTGGGGGATATAGGGTTTGGGGGTTTAGGGTTTAGGGGTTAAGGTTTAGTGGATATAGGGTTTTGGGTTTTAAGGTCTAGGGTTTAGGGGACATAGCTACCCATTGGGGTAATATTTGGGTTATATCGGGTTATGTGGGGATAATGGAAAAGAAAATGGAAACTACTGTAATGGGTTATGTAGGGTTTTGGGGTTTTGGTTTTGGGGGTTGAGAGTTTAGGGTTTTGGGGTCTAGGGTTCAGGCTTCTTCCTGCCGCAAAGGGTCCTAGGAAATCACCGGACTGGGGAAAAACTACTTTTAGTCATAAGGAAAGTTCCTACTACAGAAGCCATACTTTCTACTATGTAAGTACTTTGGACTCTTTGGGATTGGGGGAGGGGTTATGGAAGTCCCCTTTTAGGGTTACGCAAGGGTATGTTCGAAGATCTCCTAGACGGCCGCTTTACTCACAGCCAGTAGAGGATATGGGTTTTCGGCCTCATGTTTTGACCTAAAAAGTACTAGTCCATAGAGCTCCAGTTACCAGCTTCTATATATACTATAGTTATATAGCCCCTAGGTACCCCAGTAGTACCCTTTTCCCTTTTTATTTGGGGTCGCCTTATTTCAGCAGAATATCAGGAAAAAGGGTACCCTTATTACGAGGGGGTCACTGGAAAACCTAGGCCCGGTAACCTACCATTCAGGTAACTGCCTTAGGGAGCCTGACGCCGGAACGCGTTTGCCCAGGAAAGTGGTTACTACTATAGGGGCTATTAAGGGGGATGCTGGGGGTTCAGTCTTTAGCCCTAACGGTCCAAGGACCCAAATCATAGGGCTTTAGGGCCCAACCAAATGCTATGATATTAATGGTACTTGGGCCCTAAGCCCTATTGTTTGAGTCCTTGGACCCTTAGGGTAATTCATGTATGGAGCCTTCGTAGGGCTTCATTAAACTCATGCTTGGATGCAATCGTCGCTGAGAGCATTCCAGGACCTCAGTCTTCAGAGGTTCCCTCAACCTCTCCATTGCCCAGCCCCGGTTTGGGGCTTAGGGTTTGAGGATTAGCTTTTAGGGTAGCACTGGTAACGTTTCTTCCCCGGGAGCCCAAAACCTAGGCTCTCCAATTACCTATATTAAGATTTAAGTAGCCAGAATCAGGGGCCATATAACCTCAAGTAAGGGTGCCAGGAGGGTCCTGGCACCTAAATCCTACACCATTCCAGTTTCCATGTTCTTGTTCATTTGATTCTCCATTATATCCCTAAAGCCTGAGCCCTAAACAGGGTTCTAGGATTGGCCCGGTACCTGGTGGTTGTCCTCATTTTATGGGCTTGCTGCAGGTGAGCAGCATCTTTGGGAGAGGGCGGAAGCCGCCAACAGCACCGGGGCTGAGATGCGTTACATCATTAAGGTCTAGGGTTCTGGGTTTTAGAGTTTTGGGTTTAGGGTTTAGGCTTTAGGGTTTGGGGTTTAGGAGCTTTCAGATCTTATGCAGGGGTTTGAAAATGGGTTCTCCTGACAGAAATTCTGCATGGCTATGCCGGACATGTAAAACACTAGGGGTCCAAGTGCCTGATTTTTATATACGTACTCAAACCTGTACTTTAAGCACTACTACCCACACCCCATGTACTGTACACCCTAAACCCTAAAACCCTAAACCCTACTTGAACCCTCTGGGAAGACATAGTCTTTCGACGATACCGATCTTTCTCAAGGTGGTTTGTGAAGACTGGACGTCGGTTCCCCTCCCCTTAAAGGGGTCATGTAAGGATAGGCGTGTATACTTATGAAAGTATGTGGCGAATGTATAGGGGCATATACCATTATGTAATACTCCATCCCAAATATGGTAGCATTATATATTGAGTGGAACATGCATCATTAGGGGGAGGGTCATCAGTAGCAGGAGGTGATTAGCAAGCACCTTTTTTTTTTTAATGTGTTCCTTCCTTAATGCCACCCCCACCCTAGACCCTAAACCCTGGTCCTTGTTACAGGTACTCCCCAACAAAAATGCCCGAATTTCCGTCCTACAGATTGGATTTCGAAAACGCCGGCAGATCCTTATGGGACCTTACTGTTACTCGAAAAGGGAGTTTCTCAAAGTGGGGCGCTTTAGGGTTTAGGGTTCCAAACGGGACCCTTTAGCATCCTCAAGGATGTGCTCTACTCATCTGC